GTTTCTTCTCCAAAATTTACGGCAACAAGGCGTGTTTGAGTCATCTTCTATAAGTTGTAGCTAACCTGTTAACGAACCTTTATGTTTGGCATGGCAAACGTAATATTATAAGACTTGAGGCTGTAAAGGTGTCTGCTTTGAACTTTGTGCGTTTATCAGTGCAGTTTCTTGAATACACTAGGTCGTTCCGAAAGTAATGTCGCTTTTTTCAAATGAACGCCACATTTCATGGAATCAAGATTTACAAGAGATCTTAGAAACATTCGATGCATCATTTCATCCTCTTTCTAACGGTTGTATTGCATTGCATAATATTGCATAATATTGCATAATATTCATCGAGCACCCGAAAAATTACCAGAATCTGCGACTCATGCTTTGTGCCATGGTCAAGTTCTGCTATTTTTCTAAGTTTTTGCACCTATTCTCCGAGATATGTAGAGCGAACTCTATAGGACACAGAATAAGCTTTTTCTTTTTTTAGCTTGCTCTTTAGAGATTCTGGAATCAATATTTCATTGCCATCAAATTCCATAGTTGGTCAACTCAAACCTCACAGAACAACAACGGCAAGCAACTTGGGTGTCATTCGACGCAGCTTTTCCTCCTTTTTCTAACAGTTGCTTTTTATTTCCGATTCATCAAGTGTTCCGGGACAAAATCATTATAGTTCAGGTTTTCCAAGAGGGCTCCAGGCTGTACCCGAAATTTTCGAAAGTTGCTAATCTGAAACGGTGAATGCTCACTTGGTTTGTAAAATTACTGTCAAACCATAATCCATCTTTGTAAGTTTTAAAATCCGAAGGTTTATTGGTGTTTGATGCATTTGTGTCTGAGACGAGCCTGCTAAAATTCGGTGGTTTTATCAAAAAATCTACCCAAAAGTTACGAGGAGCTTTGGAAAGTAGAAAAAAGTTGTGCGTTTTTTGTAGGGTTTGCTCTATCCATCCACTACGTCTTCTTTCGAGGACTATCATAAAAATTCAGAAAAATTGTGAAATACAACCTTCTCAAAAAGCATGGGCCGCAGATTTTGGTAATTTTCTAAAAGCTCATTGAAAATTATGCAATGAAATCATAAACATTAAAAAGAGGATGAAATGCTGCATCGAAGCTTTCAAGATCTCTTGGAAATCTTGATTCCGCCAGATGTGGTACCCATTTGAAAAAGCGACATTACTTTCGGAAATAGAAAAAGTCAGCACTGCATGGTATATTCGTAAGAATAAACTTGCGAGAGGTCAAGCACCTAACGCTCTGCTTTAGTCACATCGTTTGCATGACGCCACCACCGACGGTTATGACTGCAAAGGCATTTCCGAAACATGTCTGAGACTCGCTTGAGAGTAAATTCAATTATTAGGTTGATGTATAAATAATAGCCGATTTTCCAAGCCTTTTTACAGGGCGACTTTTTTCCATCAGTACTTCTTCCTTCAAATAGATTTAGTGTACCCTCGAGAAGCTGTTTTCATGCTCTATCTAATGGTGTTTGAAAGGGGCTTCCATCCTCATCTGTTATAAAGTTACTGAGCTTCAAATAACCGCATCCGCATTCGGAATTCCACTGCATCTACTTTTCTGGCCAAAATTTAAGCGCGTATCAATTGCTCTCCTTTGAAAATTTAGCTATTGGATGCGATAGAAATTGTCTACATTCTGCATACTTGACTGTATTCTTTGAGGTTATTCAGACTAAGATATCGGCGCCTAAACATGGGTAGCTGTTGCGGTCATTTTATCTTATACTAGCTGGCTTACCCGGCTCCGCCGTATCCGGACCAAACTTGGCACACATACACTTCGGGCCCCGGCGGGTGTCACAGTCCACTTTTCGTTATCGATCGATGTCGATTTTACCGATTTTTATCGATTTTTTTGCAGAGTTCACCTACAGGGCAAGGACTTGGCACAGGGGGGAAGTGAGCATGGGGATTCCGAATACAATATTAGTTTTCAGAATTATCGATTACTTTTATTCATTTTATCGATTTTTTGTAAATTTTGACATGCGAGGCTGGGATTTTGCACAGGGGGGTAATCGAGCATGCTGATTACGAACACAATATTAGTTTTCAGGATTGTCCATTACTTTTATCGATTTTATCGATTTTTTTGTAAAGTTTGACCTGCGGGGCTGGGAGTTTGCACAGGGGGTAATCGAGCATGCAGATTACGAATACAATATTAGTTTTCAAGATCGTCCATTACTTTTATCGATTTTATCGATTTTTTGAAAATTTGAGCTAGGGGGCTGGAATTTGGCACAGGGGTGTAATCGAGCATGCTGATCACCCCCCTTGGGGATGATCAGCATGCTCGATTACCCCCCGGTGCCAACTCCCAGCCCCCTAGCTCAAACTTTGCAAAAAAATCGATAAAATCGATAAAAGTAATCGATAATCCCGAAAACCAATATTGTATTCGGAATCCCCATGCTCGATTACCCCCCTGTGCGAACTCCCAGCCCCGTAGCTCAAACTTTGCAAAAAAATCGATAAAATCGATAAAATCGATATCGATTGATAACGAAAAGTGGACTGTGACACCCGCCGGGGCCCGAAGTGTATGTATGCCAAGTTTGGTCCGGATCGGTTAAGAAATGGAATTTTCTATTTGGAACATACGGCGGAGCCGGGTAAGCCAGCTAGTGACCCATAATTTTCTTCTAAAGAAGTCAATAGCCGGAGCTTTGCTCAATTCTGTAAGCGTAAGGCTAGGGCATCCTATTAGCAGTTTTTGCAAAAACATCCAGCTGCTCAGTACGTAGGAAATCAAAAATTCTATTTTCGGGGCTTTGAGGCACACTGAAAAAATGTTCAAAAAAGTGAGAAATTTCAAATTTCAATTTTTTTTCTTTTTCGCAAACTTTTTTGTCCGAATTTTTTTTATTGTGTTTTGTACAACTGGCTTGCGGCTACAATACAGGCTACTTATATCATTCATACTAACAAACTTTAAAGGAAGATACATATGAATTGTCAAAAACAAGGTTTTAGCAGAGCAACCTTTTTTTGTTTTTCAATCCAGATTTTTCTGCCCGTTCGTGTTATGAGTATAAATAAATGTGCGCTGCATTGCAGAAGGTTTGCTGCTTCTGAGAGTTTTTAACGCATTCGGATTTGTAAATTTTTCAAAAAGTTATAGCACGTCAAAGTGAGAATTCGCAAATCGGCCATTACTTTTGCACCAACCCAATAGATGTTAGATCAAACAATTCTATCCTCTGTTTTTCCATCGAAATTATCATTTTGCGTGATACTCTGTATTTGTGTCGAAAAATCCAAAGCCCAGGAAATAGCCACGCTGTAAAACAACTCAATAGACCATATAAAATCTTGATCGCCCACTACAATCTTTGTGATTAGTTCATAAGCTCAAATATGATCTGTTTTACGTATCTTCCTTTAAAAAATCCTACTTTACATTACAAGTTTGTAATGGTACAAAGTTAACTTGTTGAACGTGCATTAACCCTTCAGTCTAATATATGGCAGCATTAGAAGGTTTAAATTGCTTGCGAGGCAAGCGAAGTTCTAGAATAAGGTACAGAGAAAGCTTCTACTATTGATGCACTACCCCTTCACTGGACTGACGCTGGTACGAAATTGGAGCAAAGTAACTCGTACACTAATTTTGTTTGAATTTGAAAAGATTCATTTGCACTTTGGGAAAATCGGCAGCAAATTAGTGCCAGGCGTTTTTATATAATGAAATTAGAGAAGCACTCGCGTGTTTTTACATGTTAAAATTAGAGCAGCACTCACAAATGTCAAAGGATGGTTATAAGGATTTTGAAGCACCAACCTCTGCAAGAGCTGCTCATCACCAATCAATATACTCTTGTGGAGACACCCGGTGTGAAACTTCCTGCACTTGAAAGAAGACGTAATCAAATTGAACTATAATATTAGGTTGGCCCGAAAGTTTCTGTCGTAAAAATATTCAAAAATTCATGAATTCCGATTTTCCATTTTTCTGAATGCTTTTATTTTTGTTTACAAGAGGTCTGAGTGGCTTACTAGTGTTTATCTGTTGCATAAATAGGTGTGGTGGATGAAAGTTACTGGAATTTTGTTTTTTTTGTGTAGGGTCATAAAAAATCTGAAACTTGCGATAAAAATTGGAGTAGTCGATAACAACGGTTGTGCTACCCGTCTTCTCTAACTAAGCCGGTCTTTGCTGATTGAATGCTTTTATTAAAAGTTATGATTTTCGAGAAAAATGCTAAAAAAATTTAAATTTTTTCTATTGTTTTCTCGAAAATCATAAGATAGAGCCACTCAATCAGCACAGACTTGGCTCAGAAAGGACAGGTCAACCCAATTTTCCGTGCACCAAAGTTTTCAAACTTGTTGAGCACCGTCCTGTAGGACTTGCTCTATCTAATACATTTTGCATCTTCAAACCAACCCTGCCACTTCAATATAAGCCACATGCATTCTTGCATTAATCTCTGACATTAATTGCACGAATTTTAGATCAGCAGGAAACAACTTCACTTGAGATAAAATTACATGCAGAAGCCGATTTGAGTTGAGCATAAAATTCTCAAAGAAAATCAAGTATAAGACAAATTTTTGATTGGGACACCTGTTGCCGCATCTTGTCGAAATCTTCTTGCCAGCGGGACCTTGCCATGAATCGCCTGCAAGTTTTCACTCCAAAAAGTGCTGCGTCATCACTGGAGCTACTAAAACTCAGATTGCAGAAAGAACTCTTTCTGAAGATAACGGAATTTCTTATTCTTATTTATGAGCCCTTGTACATGTCAAATAAGCTCAGAAAACACTACTGCAGCTGGAGCTTTTTCGCCCTTTCATTGACAACGATCACACCCTAATGAGCTCAACGCATTGATTGAAGAAGACACTAATAGCCTTTGAGTGAGGTCCCACACCCAATTGTTCCCGGAAATGCATATGCTGGTCAATAGTTCTAATGAAGAATAAAAGTGCTCTATTTATTGAGTTTGAAATGGAAAGTCGTGTCACATCGTAATGGCCGCTATCCTCAGCTGGTGTATCATGGTACAAATTGCCTTTCTTTACATTGGAACATTTTCTTACTCGTTGTTCTAGATGCTTCTCTCAAACATTCCGGTAATACAATCGCTGCAATTCGTTAATTGTACGGCCTTAAAACGTGGTTACCGCAACACTCTTTTGGACGCTCTAGATAGAGCAGACAAGCGTGGTCTCGTGGGTTGACATTTCTTATGAGCCACTCTTTTCAGAACCTTTGGATGCTTTTAGATTTACGACTGCAGTTACGAGCAACAGGCTCTAAGGTTTCTGCAACAACGGGCGAAATTCAAGATGAACAAAAAACGCTGGTTCAAAGAAGACTTGGCTGAGGCAGAGTATGAGAGGTGCTTTTACAAAATTTGCATCTGTTTCTATTGGTCTGTCTCTAAAATTTTTCAACATCTTTACTTTCTTCCGACTATTGTTCGTCTTGCGTTCTCGATGGTTTTTGCGCCACTAGTAAGCCCTAAAGCTTACAGATATTTGCTCAAAGTCTGTTTCACACAAATTGTGGAGCCGGATTCCAGAAATACCTGAGTTTCCGAAAGGTCGCAAGACATATTTACTTTCTACTAGATCCGGTACTTACATATACATTTGCTCACAGTTTCCCGGGCTAGGAATGGAGAAGAAAATTTTTTTCATGTTTTTGCCAAAACGCGTTGGACTGCTCCTACATGGATAATTCATAGTATAAAGCTTTGAAAGTAATCGTAAAACTCTGCTTTTCACAAGCCCGTTCAAAAATTTCAAAACCGCAGGAAAAAACCCGAAAAAGGCGAATTTTTCGTTTTTTTTGGCTTGCGTGCATGTATGCTTCTCGAGTTCTAGGCATAGAAAAATTGAGCAAAATTGTGGATAGATACGAAATGAAGAGATAGTATTCCCAAGCGTAAGAAGCTCGCAAAATATTTCTGGACAGAGATACGATTTTTCTCGACTTTTCGGATACTGAGGTGTATCTAGAGTTTAGCTAATAAAGAACAAATTTTAAGCAAAGAATTAGCTGCAGTCTTGTAAAACTAGCTTCGGTCTGTCAAATTTTGTCGCAAAACCTATCTATAAAGCAAGAAGAATAAGTTATAGCATAAGAAACAAAAACGTTAAGAACTTGAATACGACGTACGTATGATGTGCGTGGAAAAGTTTCATTGCAGACGTTATGACAAAGGGGTTTTCAAGTTCAGAATGCTCGTAAAAGAGGCATTCTACCATTGGAACCCGCTCTTCATGGTGAGCTTGTACCGCATCTCACATCGATTAATTACTCTCATTTAGCAAGTGCGCAAGAAAAGGGTCGGATGCAACTACTATTACCGCAGAGAAAGAGATGAACACAAAGTTGCATGTCTTTTTGGCAGCAGACGCATGAAATAGTAGATCAAGTGAAAACGATGTAGTATAACAAACTGGATGAGGGACATAGTGATGTGATTATCTCGATGAGGACAATTTCGAAGTGCTTTCATTTTTTTTAAATTTGTGGGGACGAAGATTATGGTAGATTTAGGGAATAGATAGTTGGCTGCTTCAGGTAATTGCATATACAGGCATCTAATTTCAATATGCCTGTCAGCTCTTGCCTTTCAAGAAATGATATAAGTTACTTTCGTTTCTTTATTTGTTTGTAATATCAGAAGCCAAGAAATAAATAATTCAGATAGCGTGTTTTCTGTATCTAGATGACCAGTTTCGTTCTATAATATCTTGTATGTGCAGCGCTGGCACTGATTTGTTAGGTCGATCTAAAAGTTCGGCCGTTTTCGGACTTATCCTTGAATCGTTCGGAGTACTGACAGGCAGATGTTCCAAACAGTGTTGGAGCAAAAAATTTTTCTCTTTTTAGAAGTAATGTTTTCGTCCAGGAAACTTTGATGGTCTCGAATAATCGTCAGTCCATGATAACCTACCCTTATCTGAGCTATTTATATTGTGTTTATTTCTAACTTTTAAAAGAGCATACTATTGAATAGAGTAGACAAAATGCAAGACAATGATTTTTGGGCCTCTTCGACTAGCTTGCAATTATTTTCAGAAAATTTTCTCATAAGTCTTCAGCGAAGTTCTAAAACAAACGCTTCAAACAAAAATAAACCATCGTGAGACTAGCCAATTCTGATTGAACACTAACCTAACAAGGCAGATGAGCCTTTATTGTATCGGAATCAAATTTCGAATTCGCCACAGCTGGAAATGCGTTTAGAAACTAAAATTACGATGATTTTATCCTCAAAGCCCCTACGAAACCGAAACCTGAAGAAAAAACGTTTATCATAAAGAGGAAAACAACATGCATCGAATGGCACTTTAGTTGCTCGGCGTTTGATATTCTGTGTGGCTTGAAATGACCAAAGATGGAATTCAATAACACCAAAAATTATCCGAGAAATTATTAAAATCCAGATATGATTTCACAAAAATATATTGCCTTGCATTTTGTTCACTCTATCCGACTCTAAACCTCTTCTGAGAGTTGGGAATGAAAGTTTCAAATGGCTAAAATATAGGTGAGTAAAAATCATAGATTGGCTTCCTGACGATTATAAAGCATCAAAGGAATTGGAACAGGAACAACCTGCCTAGAAGCGCGAAGAAATCCTGCATCGAACCTATCAAAGCGTTTGTCTATATTTACACTGAAGTTCTCGGAAACGGCCAAACTTTCGGACCGACCTAATACATGGCCGTAATCGGTACACTTGTAGCGAACTTCTTACAAAAACACTTCCGTACTTTGCAGAGTGGATTAAAATGTTGAAAAGTATGAATGTACGAGCAGATGCAAGAGTGTAAACAAACGCTTTTAGATTAAGCTTTCCAAAATGTAGTACATTATATACTACTGGATCGACCGTAAAGTTTGTACGCATAAAAATTATTTCCTATTACAACACCATAAAAAGAGCCAACATCGTCGTGATCTCATCGTTACAGCCTTTTTCTATCAGTTTTTTCCTCCTCAAAAAAATGAACCGTCTTATACCAAAAATGTAACGCGGTCAAGTTTTGACCACATGTTATGGGTCAGCCGAATGAAGATTAGTGGCTATTTATTCTTAAGGTATACCTCATGCAATTTGACCAAACGACGTCCACGCGACTTGGCGTTCTGCCAGATTTCCACAAATTTATCGCAGGTACTTTTCAAATTCATAGCGCGTAGCTTCTGTAAGTTTTTGCAAACGGATCAGGTCCCGTTCAAATACAGGGGATGACGACCAGTTACGAACGATCGCTTCTGTGCCGAATCGCGCAGCGACCGAAATCCGTGAGGTATGCCTTAGGCCTTAGAGCACGCGGTGTTGTCTGTTTGAACCGCAATCTATGTCGTTGCTCTCCATAAATTCAGGAAAGTCCCGGTAAGTAAACGTTAAGCTGAATAGGTGCATAACATGCATCCTATTCAGCTTGACAGAAACGACGAATTATCAAACGGATACAACATGGAAAAACATTTGATTGCAATGGAACAAGCAACAACGAATTTTTGACTCAAAATCGTTGAGTACTATCCCAAATAATTTTTATATTAGCTCTTTTTATGACTGTACCCAATCTTATCAAATCGAGTGCTTGTGAAGAGCAAGGTAATAGCACGTGTCAATGTAATGAAAGTTACATGAAGTTATTACCTTGCAGCAATCGCTGAAAGTTGTAAAGAATCAAGCAAAGAGAATGAGTATAGAATGAGCATTACAAAATAATATAAGTACATATATAAAGCTAAACTACACTCTTATCTTATTTATGCAGAAAGCCTTTTGTTTTATTCCATCATGCTTGTTTAAGGTGTGGACCAATTGTCGTACTAAATTAAATCATCGAGATAAGATCCATATCAGTGTCAAACCACCATCTACAATACCGCTCACAGAATGTGCAAAATTCCTGAATGTCGCGGATTTTCGGGGATTTCGCAATAGTCCGCAAAATTCCGAATATGCGAAACCACGCGAATCACGCAAACTGTGCAGCGCCATAACTTCCTTTGGAATAAATGTACAAGTGTCTCAGAAAATTGTGCACATTCTTTGATTATTATCTCTCTTGCATAAACGTCTTTCGCCGAGCCTGAGAGCGAGGTTCAGCTTAGATTTACAGCATGGAACAAATCTTCGATCTTTCTTCGTTACTGTAGGATTACGGTAGAAACTTCGAAAAGGCTTTTCATCCATTGAAAGCAGGGCTCGGCACAGGTGGCTTACAAGCAAGCTGGATATCGTTTTTGGGACGAAAAGCAAAGGGGGTTTCGTTTTTGTGAGCGAAGACATACGGAAAATTGACGACGGCGACCTTTTTTGTTTTTCTTTTTTTAGTCGACGTTTCGTTTTTTGGGGGATTTTCGGGAATTTTTCAGGTTTTTAGAAGAAATTTGGTTTAGGGTCAAGGGGGACTTCGTAAAAATTTCCGAAAGTCAAGGGGGACTTCGTTTTTTCCATTTTCATCTAGCCACCTCGTGCCGAGCTCTGATTGAAAGAGATATATTATCACAGAAAAAAACCCAAACAAGCCAGAATCTCTTATAATGGGATAATCGAAGTCGCTGATTTTGAATATGAAGTTTGCACGTTACTGTGATGCTTCTTTCGTGAGCTATTCATCATATATGCATATATAAGAAAGGTTAGTAGGCTACAGAGTGGAGTAATTTTATTTTGAGTTCTAACTTCTAATTTTTTTCACGCTTAAGGTAACAACTGTTCTCCCACTGTTATCAAAAACGTGATCACACTACTAAAAGCTCGAAGAATTGTTAAGAAGTTGTGTAATGAAATTAGCTCGCCTGTAAACCTTGCCAGGCAGATTTTCAGATTTCTTGGAATTTTTTTCATCAAAAGGCTATACTGGCGCTATATGCTGAAAGCATATGCTACAGTAATCCTACAGTAATGAAGAGCAGTCGGTGATTCGCTCCATATTGCAAATCTAAGTCGAACTCGGCTCTACAGAATAGCATCCTCGCCAAAAGGCCTTCAAGCAAAAGATTTGTTGACGATCAAACATTGTGCACATTTTTTGAGACACCCTGTGTTTACATGCATACATTTATTCTATAACCTCAGCGGTTATATAGAATTAATACCGCGATGATTCCGTTTATGGCTTGAGTTGGGCGACTTGGACTTCAATCGTCTTCGATGACAAGAATTCAATCTTGCTCGTGCCAACCGGCGAATTCTCGTGACGTTGCGATCTTGGCCCATGACTTCTCGTCCAAGTAGACGCAGTGGACCAGCCACGGTCTCTTCCACTTTGTCTTCTTGATCCTCCTATCCTTGGTGGATGGTATAGGTCAGAGTTAAGAGCTAGCCGACCTTTTGCGGGAAGGTTGAGGAGAGAAGTGGAAGAAACCGTGGCTGGTCCACTGCGTTGTCCATCCTGTGTTTATCCGAAAAAAGCCTTATGCTCAGCTCATCAAAATCTTTCGATATACAGCATGTCCTCGATATTTTTCTGCAGAGCACGCCGATGGATTTTTGCTGAAATATTGATGATCTGGAATTGAAAATAAACTTCACTCTAGAGGTCCTCAGACACACTGCTGTTTACGAAAATCGTGGTTATTGCGGAAGATAGGGTCTTCAGCAGAGATAGTGAAGAAGTGTAGCGAAACTTTACCATAAAGTTTGTAGAGTCGTATGCAGTTTTTGCGTATCTGCAAAAATACTTGTGATGCATGTCCCAGGCTGCATTCAAAATCGCCGAGTTACGAGTCCAAGGAATCACGTTCTCATGAGCATTGCCCACAGCGCGAAGTTCGCATACTTCGTCGAAATTTCTTGTGAGTGGAAATCACGCTGTCTTTGCAAATCTTATGTCCGCTTGGCTCAAGGGCCTACCGCATTGGATGCGGTTGTCGTGTGGGTTCAGCTACTAGGTTCCCGCTGATCACGTCAATTTCTTTTGATTTCTCAAACTAAAAACTCCCTTTTTCTTTGACTCTTGAAAACGCTTTGTGGTGCTTTTTGATAGAGCAAAGCAAGCTCTACAAAGTGGCCCCCAAACATTTGCACGGACTCCGTTCCACACTGGGTCCATAAAAATCAAAAACTTGCGAAAGCTTGAAAAATTGAAATCTGCTAGAAATGAGGAAGATACAAATATTTGCAATTGCAATCGCAAACATTTGCAAATATTTGTATTTTCCTCATTTCTAGCAGATTTCAACGTGATGCCAAAAATAATTTTACATGTTCCAATTGCTCGCAGAAGTTTCGCAGTGTGGAACAAGTTGGTCACGCACTGCAATGCCCACCATGACGGAAACCCTGCGCAAACCTTTGCTGTGACCACGGGGATCCTTACGAGTCGAATACAGGGTGCGGCAAAAGTCTGGGAGCCTAGTACTTTTTTCATATAAAATGGGAAGGGAAGTA